AATTTTTATAGTCAAAAAAAAATTTTGGTAACTTCTATTAGTACAAGAATTAATTGCCATATTCTTCATGCTCGGTTGTGATTTCAATTGCACCTTCATGGTCGTTATAACGTAAAACTTATTATTGATTATTTAATTTCCTAAGTGTTGATTCTTAAAAATAGTTGACTGAATTAGTATTTTGAATATACAGTGGTCCAATAGGTTCTTGAATAGTATTTTTTAAATTATGCGTATATGTTAAATGTTGTAAATACATTTATTTATTTCAAATAAATAAATAATCATGTATATATAAATATATTGAAAAGGCAATAAAACCAGAATTAGAGTCAATATAAAATATAATCCGAGGTGTTAAACATCTCATTGCCAGCTATTTAGAAGTCGCCCACGAACGACTCCTACATCTCTCTAAATGCTAATTTTAAACATTAAACGCATCTCTTATCGGGCGAGAAATGAGATAAAATCTTTTGTTGTCACAAAATGAATATGATAACATTTAAAAGCGTACAATTGCTTCTTATTACGTCTGCGGTATTTTTAATCACGATATTTCATCTTGATTTAATTAAAATCTGCTTTATTCTAATGATACATAAAAAAATATTAAAAATATAAAAAACTGAGTTATATAGAATAATGAGTTTTTTAAGTTATACAGACACAATCAACTTTAAATCATGTCACCATTCTTTCCTCACAAGAAAATAATTTTCTAGTTTATTACTTTCGAAACTTTTAGGTTCTTCACGATCTGAAAACACATTATAATCTCTAGAAAACGTGCTAAAATATAATAATACCTTGAATTCGTGTTTTCGCACTTCCAAAATTTAATATTTTTCTTTTTTATCAAAGTTTGTGAGCAGACGGCCTCTGGAATGATATTCCCTCCAAAGTGTCGTAAGAAGTTGGATCATTAGCGACTATGAAATTCGTGTCGGTGTGCGTAATGGGAAACTTTCCTAAAAGTTTTAGACCGTTATGCGAAATCGGCCATGTGCTAACAGTAGTTTTTATTATTCAAATTTGGAAGAGATAAGGAAGAGGTAATAATAAGAGAAGTTGGGGAAAACATGACTATAAAACTTCGAACTTTTTCTTATAAAAAATAATAAATTCTTGCAATTTATTTTCAATATATGGAATCATAATTTTCTACCAACAAAATGCATTTTCAACTTCCCGTAGGGTAAGTTATGGTAATCGCAAAAACGTTTCAGAGTTTTCTAAACATTTTGGCATACCTTAGAAAAAAATGGATGTATGGGCGTTTGTGTGTGTGCGGATACAAATTTTTGTCGACGATTTCGGGAACACAGTTCAACCGATTTCAATTTTTCAAAAACATTGGATTTCTATTGATAAGAAGACGTGCGGATTAGTTTTTGGTAAAGGCAAGTCTAGCCGTTTCGAAGATACGGGGCAAAAAGTGCCAAAACATTTACTTGTATTGACAAGATGAAGAATAATTGTAAATTTAATCGTATGTATAAATTTTGTTTATATTTATATGAACTCCGTAACATGGTTTGTCCGTCGAAAAGTCTTTTTTCCAAAAAAAGTAATTTTTTTTTTCAAATATTAAAAATTTCTCAAGAATCTAATTTTTTCAAAGTTTGAAAAAAATTAATCCTTTTTTTTAAGAAAAAATATTTTTGGTACAGGAAGTTACAGCAATTTGCCTTGAGGCACGATGCCATACACCACTAGTCGTAGTTATCTTTGACTATTTTATATATGTCATCAAAAATTGTGTTACTTGAGTGCTGACAATGAGTGCATAATCAAGGTTATATTCAGCTCTAAACTTTGTGGACAGTATAATTTTGCTAATCCGAAACTTTGACAGTCCGATAACTCAATAATCCGATACCCCCGCCATCAAAGCGCTCCACAACTTTGTGGAAATCAGCTAGAAATTTTTCCTTTATTTCAAATATCTGATGGTTTTTAAACTATAATCTAGTAATCCGAACTTTTCACTAATCCGACACCCTCTGGTTTTTAATAGTGTCGTATTAGTGCGATTCTACTGGCAAATAATTATGATGCTACATTAAAGATCACGTTTGACAATATTGATATTATGGTTTATACAAAAACCGGTTTTCGAAATTAAATTTTACCCGAAAACCGATTCAAAATACTATTGAACCGATATGATTCCACGAATCAAAACGCTTGCTAGCTTGCTACTATCTTTTATATTTGGCTATATTTGTTATGTTCCATTTATACAGTGAAAACCGGCTTTTTCCACTAAAAAAACGGTTTTCGAATTCCATAATTTTCGTCAAAAAACCGGTTTTTGAAAACCGACAAACACTAATTGATATAATTCCATAGTATCACTAAAAACTACGATTTAATATAATTAATAGTTTTATTGTAAAACTTTTCATTAAAAATATTATTAAGCTTTCATTCAATTAATTCAATTAAGACACTAAATGTATTTTTCTTTTTCCATCATTATTTTTTTTTATAAAAGTCTTGGATGCTTGAGCATCATCTTAGTTTCAATTTTCAATTACGCAGTAATATTTTTCTCTAATGATTTGTTTCAAGCAAAATTACGTTGTTGTGAAGTCTGAGATTTTCATCATTATCTACAACAACCTAATTTTGCAAAAGAAAATTATTTCGTATTAAGTTTCATGTAAAGATGCTTAGGCTTTATCCATAGGATTTATCGGACAAATTACTTTATATTAGAAAAACATTAATAGAACAGAAACGATAATGATTTCAAAATTTTGCATAAAATAATCTACTATTTTATTCTTGTTATTCATTGTCTATTTGTCCACACTTTGGTATTTTTCCTCAACTAGAGATGAATATTGTAGAGAGTGTAGTTAGAGACAATAAACGAGCAATTAGAGACGAACGAAGTTAACATTATTAATACTGTTTAAGTTAACAATATGAAACTCAGAATTTTGTTTCCGTCTCATCACAACTAATATTTTTATGCAGGACTTATATTAAAAACAGACTTTTTTTCTGAACTAAGTCAGATTATTTTGTACACAAAACAACTTCTAAAATGTATGTTTTACCGATCCTCGTACGAGTAAGCGGTCATATCCAACATTTTCCCAGACGAAAGGATTTTCCTTAAAGTTTTCTAAAAGAGTTTTTAGTACTTTTGCAATGACCAAACTTGATTCTTTTCTTTTTGGACCGGACTTTGTTTCAGTCAGTTTCTCCGTAGTTCATGACCATATAGTTTGATCATGTTCGAAAAACTAGTAAGTTTGTTTTCATAGTGTTCGGAAATAGATATAAAATGTCTAGAGTAGAGGAAGATACGAACTGCTCGAGTTTCTATACAAACTGCGTTGAAATCAGCTACATTCAAAAAAAATTAAATGAAATATTTATAAAGAACACATTAGTCGCATTTATTGTTAAAAATATTCATTAAGCTGTATTACATATAGGGCTTCGAATCTTTTCACAGATAGGATTTTGAGCCATAGTTTCAGAATTTTCGCTTATCTATAAATTTTCTAGTTTGCAAATTACATATTATATACATATTTTTAAAATACTAAAAGTTAATAAAAAAAAGTTAAACCATATGGAAAAGTTTAACATCTTATGACCAGGATCATGCTTAGGATCTAATATATATATATATATATATATATATATATATATATATATATATATTTATTACTTCATCTTAATATTACCAACTTGTAGTATAATAACTGTATTTCATCATAATTTTCTAAATTAAATTATGCCCTCGAGTATCAAATAATAATTATTTTGCTGGTAATTCAATATTAGTTGGTAACGATAGGAAAGTTATGAAGGATGTTAATGAATCCCGTTAGCAGTTTGTATAGTAGTTGCTTTAATTGTAACTCAATTATGTTATTTAATAACGCATAAATGAAAGGATTTAGCAATTATATAGAAACAAACTGAAAAATAAAAATTGTATTGTACTTTAATGGGTTGTCGTAAAAATAACTGTTCAACTAACAATGAGTGGAAGAGTTAGTTTTTGTTAGGTAGTTAGACTCATTTGCAAAATGCCAAAAAAATCTACTTGATACAATTTGATGTTCCTCAATTAAAAATGTATGTTCACATTACAATTTGATTGCTTCGAATGTATTCCATCGTTTTAATTTTATACCTCAATTACTGCCTTGTTTTTGTTACATTTTCATTTATTTACTAATGAAACACCTTGAAAGCACATTAAGCGTCGTCTAATTGTAAGCGTTGAATGGTTTAATGTATATATTCGATCAATTACGAATTTAGACATTTGCATCATGAACTTTTGTGCTTAAGATGATTAAATCATCTTTTAAATCAATAGTTTTTTTTATAAATTTTTATGTTGGATATAAAAGCATGATGAAGTCAAAGCTTTCATTCTAGACAAAATTAAGTTTGATAAAATTCTATTCTGAATTAAATAGTTTGGAATTGAATATTACAATATTCAAGTTTTGCATCAATATTTTTTTATACATTTTTATATTGGCTTATAAAAGCTGGATGAAGTCGAAGCTTTCATTCTAGACAAAATTAAGTTTGATATTGTTCTATTCTGAAATAAATAGGTTGGAATTGAATATTACAATATTTGATATAATTTCTTCAAAGTAACCAATAAAATGCAATTAGAAATATATCATGAACCCTACCAAGCAGTATATTAGTACTAGAACCAATAAATAAAATGTAAAATCAATTAGTTTTTCATAATCAAGCAACTTTTTATATTTCTATAAACCTTCAAAGCTGATGTTTCAAGTATGTGCAAAAGTTTATACGTTTTTAGCAATAGTTTTATAATTTTTCATGATTAACAGCATTTTACTGTATAAGAAAAAAGAAGAAAGACGTTGAAGATTGTACTGAGTACTTCGATGCCAAAACTAATTTCTAGAATATAAGGACAAAAATTTTTATATAAAAGCTACACCAGAGTTGCACGAACAGAAGTTAAAGTTACAATAAAAGAATAAGTTGGTACGCCTAATTGTCGAATGACAATGCGCAAGATTGTTGAGTTTTCTTGAGCTTGAATGTTTCATTTTTATGTTCTATACTATCTTTTCATTTTTATCCTATTATACCCCGTGCTCTTTTTTTGCTTAATACAACTGATTTCTTCATAACTGATTATCACTTGAATCTGATCTTCCCCAATTGTAATCTTGCTTTTCATCTTACTATTTATTCATTATATTATATTATATACTATCTTTTTATTTATAACCTATTATATCCATTCTTCTTTTTTTCTTCATTTATATCCATGTTCTTTTTTCCCCTTCACAACTGATTCCTTCATTCTTCTTTTAAATCTGATCTTCTCCAATTATAATCTAGCTTTTCTTTTTACTTCTAATTTATTTATATTATATAATATATTCTATATTTATTATATTATATTCTATACTTTTATGTATAACCTATGCTATTCATTCTTCTTTTATATCCATGTACTTTTTTCCCTTTACAACTGATTCCTTCATTCTTCATTCAAATCTGATCTTCCCCAATTCTAATCTAGCTTTTCTTTTCACTTCTAATTTAATTATATTATATTCTATATTCTATATTTATTATATTATATTCTATACTTTTATTTATAACCTATTTTATATTCATTCTGCTCTTTTTCTTCATTTATATCCATGATCTTTTGTTCCCCATATACAACTGATTCCTGCATTCTTCTTTTAAATCTGATCTTCCTCAATTATAATCTAGCTTTTTTTACTTCTAATTTATTTATATAATATTCTATATTCTATATTTTTTATATTATATTCTATACTTTTATTTAAAACCTATTCTATTCATTTTATTTTATGTGCATGTACTTTTTTCCCCTTTACAACTGATTCCTTCATTCTTCTTTTAAATCTGACCTTTCCCAATTCTAATCTTGCTTTTCTTTTTACTTCCAATTATATTCAAATTCAACTCAACAATACAAATTCTATTCCATTTCAAATTATCAGTTTGAAATTCTACCACTTACTTCTATTTCTATGCAATTTCAAATCAACAATTCAAATTATATTAAATCTTAACTCAATATTTCAAATTCTATGTTATTGCTAAGGGTCGATCCGAGGTGTAAGTCGGGCTTGCTACTAACTGAGCTTTCTCACCACATCGTTGAGTTTTTTTTTTCATCAATCTACAACTGCCTAAAAGGCAGTAATTGTTGTGACTAAAATAATAGATAAAATTTTAAAATACTACCCATTGGTAGTATTTCATAAGATGTACAGAAAATAATTACATGTAATATACTAAATATATTACTATACTAGTTCTAATGGATCTAATGTTCTTAGTCTCCTGATAGTGTTAGCAGAGAATAGGTCTTTTGCGAGTACATTTGAAAGGTTCTCCAATCTTGACTTATATTTTGCTGCGAATCTACTAATTTCTTCCGCTTTCGTGTGTATGTTGCAGTCCTGATGAACAAGTCAATTGGGTGCATATCTGGGAGCCTCCAGTACTTTTTTGAGGACCATGATCTGAGATTCGTTGTGAGTTTAATGACCGATTGTTAATCCTCTTCTAAACCCTTGCCAAGTTAGATAAACCAGAAATTACATTTTGAGCAACCTGATACAGTAAAGCTGAACAAAACCTATGGAAGTAAAATACATTTAGTATATTCATCCAATGACACGCTACAATACTCCCCGCTTCTTTGACATCCCAAGTCATCGCCCACGGCGTTTAAATCCCGACCTTTTGTGTTGAATAAAATGTATATTTTCCTTGGCTCAGCATCGGTATGTATTTTCATTATCGGATCAGTTTTCCTTTTGTGCGTGTGACAATGAACTCTGTTCGATCCGACCGCCCGCCGAGGCTACGCCATACGCAAACGTAAATCGGCCGAGAACGCGAACGACAGTTGGCATTGAACGCGCCTCTCGCAGCGCCTACGGAGCGTCCTATACCTTCACGGCGCGATGCCTCGAAATAATCTTATCCTAGACTTGGAGCTCCGAGGTCACGCGAATTAATACGATCATCCACTAGGGCTGGTAATATGAAATTTAGTTGTAATATTAACTAAGATTTGTGAGGAAGAAAATGATTAACCCCTTAACTTACAATTTAGATCCGAAAATGTCGGGCCAAAGTTGTTCAAGTTGGCGCGGCTTTTGTGACTATTTTCCCTCATAGTGTACGGTTTATCACAATAATAAAAATAATTTTGTGTTTTATAGTCATTTTAAGTTAAGTGGTTAACCTCAAGAAAATTTAAAGAAAACACTACTTCGTTCTTCGTGATACACAAAACAGACTCGGCAAAGAAACACTCATTTTAAAAAATCAGACAAATCCAAATTTATTCAACAATAACAATAAATAAAGTTGTTTAGCACATGTTTTTCCTTAGGGGGCGTTCATTAATCACATGAGCGCTTTCTAAGTATTTTTAGACCCCCCCTCCCCATTGCTGATACGTGGTGATATTTGAAAATACCCCCTCCCTCCCCCGCACAACATCACGTGTATTTTTAATACCCATAAAAATCAATTTTTTTTGAAAAATTTTAGATTTTTTTAAGGTAAAAAATAAATACACGTGATATGTGATATTTCGTGGTTTTTTATTGAACCCTCCTCCCCTTTTTGGCTCATGTGATTAATAGACGCCCCCTTATAATTAGACAGTGACAGTCGCCATAACATCTAAACTTTACTGATTTTGAAATGGGGCCCAAAAGTTGAAGTATGTTTGTTCGAATAAGTTTCCATTATTGCATTGAGTCAGCTGGATTTCATAACTAATCTGTCGCATTTAGGGACAGTATTTCAGAATTATCACATAGACTAATATTCAAATTGTGATTTAATTTTCTTTTCTACCAGATAACTAATATATTAAAAAAATTCGTGCTGAATCAAAGAAGTCGCACTGTTGTACCCAGGCAACCCTACAAACCCAAATTTTAGATTATAATGTTACAAAACTTCCTATTTAAATATTATACAAAAAAAAATCTTTGTCAAATAAGTTCATATACTAAATAAAAAACCTATCAACGACTTATCATTTTGAAAAGTTGTTGAGTAGTATAAAATTCGAAATGACATTGAATGTTTGTTAGTTTTGAAGCTACCAAAAGGTCTAGTTACTAGAGTACTAGAGAACTACCATAGTTTCATCTTAAGTTTGACTTATTTATTTATTAGTACTCGTCGTATCCTTAATTTTGACTTTTTATCTATCAGTATGTACTCGTTTTTATCAAAAAATTGAGTCTTGAATCTGACAAAATGGCAATTTACTAAAATTTTCATAATTTGGTTATATAGCAAACCCTTCGTTTCTTGACCATCACTGTTGAGTTTGTACAAATGCCATGAAAACCGATTTCAAAAACCGACAAAATTTGATATCTTCTAATATATATTTCTGCAAAGAATGGGAAAATATCTAAACAGTAAAGCAAATAATAAAATGCTTCTAAAATTAAGAGATATTAGGTTATCAAAATACCTTGTGATATAAATAGTACGCCAAAAACATTTTACAGAATTTATTTACACTACAAATGTAGCAATCAAAATTTCAATTCACGATAAAAATTGCGGTATGTATTTCCTGCTGAAAATTGATATAATTTTTGAATGTTTCGAATCATGATTTTCGGCCCACTTTAAGAACTGCGGTTTCTGCATTAGAAGTCTAGTAAAGATAATACGCAAATATAATTAAATAAAAATTACTATAAATTGAAAATGTATTTTCTAATTAAATAATGCAATTATAAAACGTATTTCTTAACTAACATATCAAGTTAGCTTTCCTAGCCCTGGTAAATAAATATGTTCTTCATAAATAGCTCTGAAACGCACATGATTTGAACTGCGGCGATACATAACCAGGAAATTCTTGAGTTCAGGTCCAGGACGAGATTGTAAAATGTGAGTTTATTTGTAACGCCATAAAATCAATTTCAAGTAGCACCATGTTGTGACTACGACGCGTTTAGTTCATGAAAACGAAATGTAAATAAAAATAGAAATTTATATTATCGATAGACACAATATAATATAAATACTACCAAGGATATAATGGTATTTTGTATTTTTTCGTCATTTTTTTTATATAAACAAATAGAGTATGTTCCCAGTAATCCCAGTAACTTACTGCTGATCGAATATAAATAAATTGCAAAAGTTAAATTTCACTTAATTTTATTGAACAATTACCAAAAACGTTCATCATCATCAACAATTTCTCCTTACTCTGAAACTCTATATGGATACTTCTCTTTTTTCTTACTCTACTGATGTAGAGTACAAGAAATGTAATTATTATCTGAAATTTATATTTCAGATAATAATTCAACATAGTATACATCCGAAATAGATACTCTAATCGTGTTAAAGTTCATGATGTTTTGAGTCGATATCTATTAAAAAAAGCAGCACTTCTGAAAATAACACGGAATGCTAAAACAGTGGCAGCAATCTAATTATGCGATCATCAACAAACGAACGTCATAGACACACGAGACGACTACGTAAATATCAACCTATTGGGGATGATAGGGTACACCAGAGTAGTTGGGATACTTATTTGATTATTCACACTATTTATTCTATTGCTTGAACAAAATTAGACATATGCAGCATATTGAAAGATTTGTACTTTAGAGAATTTTTAAAAACGTGAAGCATTACCTAATATTTCATAATATTTTTAAAAGCAATAAAACCAGCCATAAATGTCATCTATTATATAAAAATAAGTCGGGGTTTTCTTCCTGACGATATAACTCCAGAACGCACGAACCGATTTCGACGATTTTGCATTCGTTGGAAAGGTCTCGGGCTCCGTGAGGTTTATAGCAAAGAAAATTAAAGAAAAATATCAATAGAAAAGCGAAAAAAGCATCATCTCTGATACTTAGCATGTACTACAAACTAATATTTTTTGTTCGACTGATACTCATTTGTTTGACAGCTACTCATTGTTCTCTGCTCAGTTAATTTCATGTGACAAACCGACATTGTGTTCACTGTGAAATCGTGCAAAAAATGTAAAAAAAATAAGTTCTTTGTTTTCTAACATTTCAATTGAAAACCATCAAATCAATCACGTGTATTGTGCAAATTTTTATTCAATTTCAACAGCAGGCAATTTTTTCTTCATCTTTTAATCACTAAACGAAATGTTACTTAATATGAAACCATCTGGTGGTGAAACGGAGTTCGCCCGGTTTGCTAGTATTTTATAAAAATCATCACATTATTTATATTTATTTATCAGAGTATAATTTCGTTTCCATTAACAGAAAATTTTCTGAACCGCACACGTTTTTATGTCTTTATATTCTTTAGTATTAATATAATGAATATAACAATCCTCATGATTTTTATATACACATAATAAAATATATGCATGTTAAGTTCAGTTTTTTTTAATATACTTTACTGTTTTATGAGATGTTATATATTTTACGACTTTCGAATGCTACGCACTGAAAAAGCTCTTAATGGAAATCAAAGTTCATAGGTAACAAAAGCACATTATATGAATAATTTATAATTTAATTATTGTATATTAAAATAATATATATATATATATATATATATATATATATATATTATGGTGGTCCTTAATATGGATGTTTTAAAGTTTTCTTGCTCCAGGGGCTCAAATACTTCCAAATTGTTAAAAGAAAATTCTTTGAAAGTTTTAGCTCTTAATATTAACTCTAGGATAGTCCGCACTCCAACCAAAGTCTCTTGGTTTTTCTTCCTATGTAAATACTTGTTTCATGAAATATATCATTTTTTGTTGTAATTTTTTTATTTATGATCAAGATAAGCAAATACAATGCTAGTCTTGAAATTTTGATTCACTTGTCGCTAAGTTATAAAATATTAAAAAACAAATGCATTTTTATGCCATATTATTTCCATAATAAACTTTGATTGAATTGTGAACTATCTTAAAGTCAATAATAATATCAAATCAAATAGCTAAAACTTTCAGAGATTTTTTTATCAATTTGGAAGCATTTGAGACCTTGTGAGCAAAGAAATTCGAAAATATCTATATTGAGGACTATAAAGTGCATCAGGGTATATCCAAAATTACATTTACCAATCAATATAGTATACATCATCAATAAAGTTTTCAATAACTTTTTAATGTTAGAAAAATGAATAGAAAAAAATGTATTTTTTAAATATATTGAATTAATATTTCAAATCACCTTTTTATTCGAATAATAAAATGAACGTTTACTATATCTTCTGCATCCTTTGCATTCTAAACTCTCATATTGTAGAAGTAAATACAGTATTTCATTATTGTGACTTCAATTTATTTTTTGTCTTAAAGACTTAGATGGCAATATATTTCCAAGTCAAAATCGCCTTTCCAGGTTCTACTGTATCAAATTAACAAATCATTAGAGAAATCACTCCTCAGTATTAGAGAAATTCTAATAACTAAACTTTATCAAATAGAGATAGACTAATCGTTGGGCTCTACAAAAAATCGTGTAGTCAAGCTTCGGCTCAGAGAGGATAAAATTCTGATCTCTACTTAACTAGAAAAAAATTAACAAAAATGCATGTTGCATCGTTTTTTTATAATTTTTTTTAGTATAATCCAATCAATGGCGTAGCTATTTTAGAGCGCAGGTATCATATTAGCAAAAATTTGTCGTGTGCACTATATTTAAGTCTAAATATAAATATATTTATATAGAGTATGGGCATTTTCAGTCACATACATCGAGCTAAGTAGCTGTTTTAACGTTTGACGTCAAAGTTTGCACGTAACATCTAACACGATTTTCTATATTTACGTCAATACTCCCTCAACCATGTACACGTTTCGAATGACTTGTGTTTTTAGATCTATTCTTCTATTTATTTAAGCTGTCTATATTTTTATACACCGATGAGTCATTCAGAACACTTCAATGAATAATCGATCTATTTGTGTAATCATTGGGTGAATTGTAGTTTTGCAATAGTTGCAAATATTAGGTGAAATCAATATTGA